CGTCAGGCCGATTTCCCTTAATCTTTCTTCATAGGACATTCCCCTTAGCTCTGGAACTAACCTTGTCGCAAACCTTTGTACTTTCTCTAGTTTCTTGACGTGCTTTATCAAGTGCGGGTTCCAAACAGGTGCTGCATACTCCAGTATGGGCCTGACATACACGTGTACAGTGTCTTGAATGATTCCTTACTAAGGTTTTCGGAATGCTGTTCTCAGGTTTGCCAGGGGCCCATATGCTGCAGCAGTTATCTGATTGATGTGTGCTTCCGGAGACATGCTCCGTGTTATACTCACCCCAAGATCTTTCTCCTTGAGTGAGGTTTGCAGTCTTTGGCCACCTAGCCTATACTCTGTCTGTGGTCTTCTGTGCCCTTCCCTATCTTCATGACTTTGCTTTGGGCAGGATTAAATTCGAGGAAGCCATTTGCTGGACCAGTGTCCAGTCTGTCAGGTCTCTTTGAAGTCCTGCCTGGTCCTCATCAGATTTAATTCCCCTCATTAACTTCACATCATCTCCCAAACAGGGACACTTCTGAGTCTAACCCTTCCGTCATGTCGTTCACATATACCAAAAATAGCACTGGTCCTAGGACCGACCCCTGTGGGACCCCGCTCGTACAGGTGCCCACTCTGATACATCTTTACGTACCATGACTCGTTGTTGCCTCCCTGTCAGGTATTCTCTGATCCATTGCAGTGCCCTTTCCCTGTATATGCCCCCTGATGCTCTAGCTTCTGCACTAATCTCTTGTGAGGAACTGTGTCAAAGGCCTTCTTGCAGTCCAAGAAGATGCAATCAACCCACCCCTCTCTCTTCTTGTCTTACTTCTGTTATTTTATCTAAAACTCCAGAAGGTTTGTGACACAGGATTTGCCTTCCGTGAATCCGTGCTGGTTGGCATTTATACTCCTGTTCCGTTCCAGGTGTTCCACCTCTCCTCCTGATAATCTTATCCAAAATTTTTTGCATACTATACACGTCAATGCACAGGTCTATAGTTTAGTGCCTCTTTTCTGTCTCCTTTTTTAAAAATGGGAACTACATTTGCCGTCTTCCATCCCTCAGGTAGTTGCCCAGTTTCCAGGGATGTGTTTAAAGATTGTGGTTTAAGTGGCACGCACAACATATCTGCTCCCTCTCTAAGGACCACGGGGAGATGTGTCGGTCCCATTGCCTTTGAGGTATCGATGCCCCTTTTAGCATTTTCTTCACCTCTCCTCAGCTGTATGTATGTCGTCCACACTTGTTGGTTATTCCTTGCGGGTGCCCCCATCTGGTCTGTTCCCCATGTCCTTCCTGTCTCTACTGTAAATACTTCCTTAAATCTCGTGTTGAGCTCCTCGCATACCTCTTGATCGTTTCTTGTGAGTTCTCCACCTTCTTTCCTCAGCCTTATCACCTGGTCCTTGACTGTTGTCTTCCTCTAATGTGGCTTTTACAGCAGTTTGGGTCAGATTTGACTTTCGATGCTATGTCGTTTTCATACTGTCGCTGGGCCTCCCTCCTTATCTGTGCTATCGTTTCGGGCTCTCTAACTAATCCTTGTTTTCCTGGGTCCTATGCCTCCTGTACCTTTTCCATTCTCTGTTGCACTTAGTTTTTGCCTCCCTACACCTTCGGGAAACCAAGGACTCGTTTTGGTCTTCCTATTAATTTCTGTTTCCCTTGGGAACAAAACTTCCTCTGCCTCTTGCACTTTGTTGCCACATATTCCATCATCTCGTTTACTGTTTTTCCCTACCATTTCTCTGTCCCACTGAACCTCCTGCAGGAAGTTTCTCATACCTGTGTAGTCCCCCCTTTTATAGTTTGGCCTGTCCCCTTCAGTTCCTGTTACCTTCTCCACTTGAACTCTACTATATAGTCAAAATCAGAACCACATGACGCTAGCTCCAAGGGGGCCTCTCGTAAGTGATGTCCTCAATGTCTGAAACTGCTCAGGGTGAACACAAGATCCAGTCTTGCTGGCTCATCCTCCCCTCTCTCTCTGGTTGTGTCCCTGACATGTTGATGCATGAGGTTTTTCAAGTACCACATCCATCATCTTGGCTCTCCATGTTTCAGGACCCCCATGTGGCTCCAGGTTTTCCCAGTCGATCTCCCTGTGGTTGAAATCGCCCATTCCCAGTAACTTTGCTCTGCTCGAGTGAGCTCTTCTTGCCACCTCAGCCAGTGTGTCCACCATCACTCTTTTTGTTTTCTTCGTACTCCTCCTTGGCCTCCTGCAGTTCTGTGGTGGGTTATAATCACCCATGACTACTTTAGTTCTCCGGACTGAATTGTACCTACAATGTAGTCTCTTTCTCCAATCATGTCCATGCCTTCCATTTTCCTCAAATCCCCATCGGTGTTTTATGAGCAGTGCAACCCCTCCTCCTCCTCTACTCCTTCTATCTTCCTCAGGATCTGATATCCTGTTGGGAAGATTGTGTCTGTTATTGTCTCAGCGATTTTTGTTTCTGTGACTGCTATGATGTCTGGAGATTTTTCACTGATTCTTTCATTCCATTTCCTCATGTTTATTCGTTTTTCCCACCCGCGTTTGTGTACCAAACCTTTAGTTTCTTTTCTATCATTGTGGTCATGCAAGTATTTTGGGGGGTTGGGGGAGCGAGAGCCTTTGTGGGGGCCTATATGGGCTGTGGTGTAGGTGGGGTTTGTGTTGATGGGGGTGGGGTCAGAATGCCCATAAGGGACAGCTGTTGGGGTGGGTTTGTTTATAGGGGTTGGTGGCAGAGGGAACAGTGAGTGGGTTGTAGTATAGGTTGCTCAGTTGCGTTGGGAGTGTCGCGGGTGGAAATCTTTTTTGGGGGGAGATTCTGTGGGGTGTGTTTGCCCTTCCTCCTGTGTCTGGGTCCTGCTCATTTTCATTGCTTCTCGTTCCTCCTTGCGTCTCTGTACCCTCTCTTTCAGTGTAGTCCTTTCTTCTTGTGTTCTGTCGCGGTCGAGGTATACTCTCTGGTACCCCTCTTTGTCCCTCAGTCTTGCTTTCTCTTGGCCCGAATCCTGATTCGAACTGATTCTCCTTGAAAGTTACTCTGACAGGCCTTATCCTTCCACTCGCAAACCACCCAATTCTCTTTAAATTTGTCACCTGGGTCATATTGCCCTCCCTATTGTTTTCATGATGCCTTCAATCATTTTTTTCTCCTCCTGTTTTATTTCTTCAAATTGGCCCCCTTGGCTTCTTGGAGCCCGTACACAAAAACTGACCTCGCCCTTTCCTCCTCCACTGAGTCTCCATCTGCTTTCCCCTGAGGCATTTATTTCTTTCCATTGACATGTTCTTGCCTTCAGTCCCTGTCATATCTGAAACTTCTATTCTCATGAACTGTCTTTCCGACCGCTGTCCCTTGCTACTGCAGTTGGCTGTTAGAATCTCTGCATATGCATACCTTCATTGTCTTCGGACCCGTCGTTTGATCTTAGTGTGCTCATCGTCTTTTCCCTGGCCCCACGTGGGTCTGATAGGGCCCTTTGTGTACGGCATGTCTCCGTTGTTGCTTACCCATCCCCTTGTCTGCGCCTGACTTTGAATTTTCCCGATGTCACCCCTGAATTGTCATTTGTCTCTCTAATCTGTTTCAGGCTTGCAGTTTCTCTTCTAAGCACTGTATCCTAGCTTCTGCTGCTAAGACCTGTACTTCCCCCTTCCTGCACTCTTCAGCTATCCGCTCCTCCATTTTCTTACCAAGGCTCTACTATCTCCTTCCCATTCTTCTCCCTTTTTTTGGGGCTCTAACTCCCAGTCTTTCCTCCCTGGTTTGTCTTCCAGATCTCTGGTTTTCCGTCCTCTAAGGCCACCATTTTTTTTTTTTTTTTTTTTATTTATTACCACAGACAGAAGGCTAGAGGAGGGAGAGGGTGTGGGGGGGAGAGAGAAAGGGTAAAAAGGGAGAGGGGGAGAGAGAAAGGGTAGAAAGAGGGAGAGAGAGGAGAGAGGTTTTGGGGGTGAGGGATAAGACCAAGGGGGAGAGAGAGAAATGTGAGGGGGGAAAAGAAATGGTAGAGAGAGGGAGAAAGAGAGGGGGAGGGAGAGAAAGAGAGAGAGAGGGAGAAAGGAGGGCGAGGGAAAAGGGTATTTAGAGAAAGAAAGGAGAGATGGAGAGAGAAGCCTATAGAGAGAGAGGAGGGTGAGAGATTGGGTTATGGGAGTGAGGGGAGAGAGAAGAGGGAGAGAGGAGGAAGAGAGAGAGAGGGAGAGAGGGGAGAGAGAGAGAGAGAGAGGGAGAGAGAGAGGGAGAGAGAGGGGGGGAGAGAGGGGGAGAGAGAGGGAGAGAGGGAGAAAGAGAGGGAGAGAGAGAGGGAGGAGAGAGAGGGAGAGAGAGAGGAGAGGGGGAGAGAGAGAGGGAGAGAGGGGGAGAGAGGGGAGAGGAAGAGGGAGAGGGAGGGGGGAAAAGGGAGGAGAGAGGGGGAGGAGAGGGGGGAGAGAGAGAGGGAGGGAGAGAGAGAGGGAGAGAGAGAGGGAGAGAGGGAGAGAGGAGAGAGAGAGGGAGAGAGAGAGGGAGAAGAGAGGGAGGAGGGAGGGGAGGGAGAGAGAGAGAGGGAGAGAGAGAGGGAGAGAGAGAGGGAGAGAGAGGGGGAGAGAGGGAGAGAGAGAGGGAGGGAGAGAGAGAGAGAGAGAGAGAGAGAGAGAGAGAGAGGGGGAAGAGAGAGAGAGAGAGAGAGAGAGAGAGAGAGAGAGAGAAAAGAGAGGGGAGAGAGAGAGAGTAGGGGGAAACGGGAGTGAAAAAGGTATGAGAGAGAGAAACGCGAGGGAGGGAAAAGGTAAGAGGGGAAAAGGTAAGAGGGGGTGAAGGTCTGTGGGGGAGGCGGTCAAATTCCAAGGATCAGCTGTGTGTGTGTGTGTGTGTGTGTGTGTGTGTGTGTGTGTTAGAGAGCAAGCGAAAGTTATATCCTTACCTTCTCCTAACTTTCCCCTGCAGCTTTCTTATCAGCTGCTTACACAGTGAGCTTGCAGAAGTAATCCTATGTAAGCCTTGTGTTTGTGTACCTACAGGTAGAGACCATCGGAGACGCTTACTGTGTTGCCGGTAACCTGCACCGTCGTAGTGCCTGGCACGCCCACCAGGTGGCCTGGATGGCACTCAAAATGATGTGCTCCTGTACCAACCACACCACCCATGACGGTCAGCGCATACAGGTGAGTGCAACCACGTAGAATGCATGGGGCTGGTGGTTAAAGCTCTCGTTTCACACGGCAAGTGTCTGGGTTCGATTCCCAGCGAGGGTAGAAACACTGGCGTGTTTCTTTACACCGGCTGTCTATTTTCACCTATCAGTAAAATGGGTACTGGGTGTTAGTCGACTGGTTGTGATTGTGAGTCGATCCTGGGACAAAACTAACCTAATTTGTGGGAAATGCTCAGCATAACAAGCGCCTTTCTATATAGTAGTATGTCATTGATGTCAGCTCTGGTCTATATACCTTGTACATGACTACAAAAGTGAAAAAAAATAGAGGAGAGTGTGAGTATTATATATATATATATATTATATATATAATATATTATATATATATTATATATATATATGTATATATATGTATATATATACTGGCACCTGTGGGCATCCTCCTCTGTGATTTTGGCACAATATCGTCCAATCAAGAACACCTACCAGGATTATCATCAACAGGCTGGTGTGTGATTATCTGCTGCCTTCAGGATCAAGAAAAGTGTTGTGTATGCGAATTCAGTGAGGGAACATAACGGTCACCTATGGGTAGGAGAGGTCGGTGAGGGGAGGCCTCATGGAGGAGGAGGAGGAGGAGGCGGAGGCGGAGGTTGAGGGGTAAAACTGTGTTCCCCCTTCCCCCTTCCCCAAACAGGCGCGCATACACCGTGTGCTCGTGTTACAACAATCGAGTGTTTGTCCGTGTGTATAGTGTATATAGTGTATAGTGCGTAGTATGTGCATGGTATGCGCATAGCATGTGTAGTGTATAGCAGTGTGTCGTTTATAGGGTCTGTGCACAGAGCATAGTGGTGTATAGTGACTTGTCCTGGGAGGGAGTGAGTGCCTTACTCCGCCTCATCACACATCTTCCACTCCTCCCTTTCCTCCACCGCCCACCACAAGGACGGGAGACCCCTCTCCTTCCCCCACCACCACCATGAACCACATGCGGTATGTGCCATGAGCCATTTTCCCTTCAGCCTGAGCTTACCACACAGTTTGAGGTATTGCAGATGAAGCCAGCCAGCCACAAAGCCATGGAAATAGTGCACCCAACAATGAAAGAAGAGGCACATGTCAGGTGTGTGGAGAGTTTCGAGCACGCAAAAGGGATTGGCCGCATTCGTGCACACAATGGGTGTGTGGGATCACATATGCTCCCAGCTTCCACAGGCAGATGACAATTCCAATGGCAACCTCCTCACTTGCGATAACCTTCTGTTGGCATTCAAATTCACTGCTAGCAGTACCCTATCCCACATCCCTAAAGCGGCTCGCCCATATGCAGCAAGGAAACTCAGACCTTAAGCAGGTGAATGGAGGTTCCACCAACTTAGAAGTCCGAGGCACCACCCAAGCATGGCACAACCTACTCCTGTTCGGCAATGTCTGTCTTGCAGTTCCTGAAAGATGAGGCAAACTGCTAACCACGTCAGTTATCAAGGCAGTGCGCAACTACCCAAGAACGAATAATTGTGTCCCTCTGCACCATCATCGCAGGAATCAAAGAGGTAGACCCAAGAAAAGTCCCACTGAAAAGAGAAAATTTGCGCACAGGTTATCAAAAAAATCGAAGAAGGTAACATAGTGAGAACAATCAGAATAACAAGTGACGACACTGTAGCCGCTAAGGATGAGACCACAGCTCAAGCACTAAGAGACAAGCATCCAACCAGGGACACCATAGCCATCAACAACAACTCTGAGGAAGACCCCATCACTGAACAATTAATTTTGCCAGAATCGGAAGTCTATAAGGCGATTGTGTCATTCCCAGCAGGATCTGTAGGAGGTTACAATGGAATTCGACCTCAGCACCTCGAAGAGATGGTAAATCCAGTACTCGGTGCATCTGCATCAATTCTTCTCACCGAGTTTACAACTTTCGACAATAACTGCCTGGCTGCGAGAATCCCAGAAGAAATTAAACATTTCTTTTTTGGAGCCTCACTATGTGCGTTGAAGAAGAAGGATCGGGGAATCAGACCCATTGCTGTTGGAAACACTCTTCGCCGTCTCGTTGCCAAAGCAGCAGTAAGAAACATTCGCCTAGAAGCTGCCAGTTTACTCCAGCCACACCAACTGAGCTTTGGGGTCTCTCAAGGTAGTGAAGCCGCAGCTCATGTGGCAAAGGCCTACATCAGGGACCTACCAGAAGACAAGGCTGTAGTCAAACTTGATTTTAGAAATGTCTTTAGTATGGTGAAGAGATGCTGTCTTGCCAGCTGTTTGGAATCGGTTCCCCAGTCTTTTTCCCTTCATTTCAGCCGGCTACAGCAAACCCTCAATTCTTTTGTTTGGAGAACATGAAATCCTCTGATCAGAGGGTGTTCAGCAGGGTGACCCACTTGCTCCACTTCTCTTCTGTTTGGCAGTAAGAGGACTAACTTCCAGCCTATGCAGCGAGCTCAACATCTGGTACCTGGATGATGGCACTCTGGCAGGTCCTGAAGAGTCCCTGGTAGGGGACCTACAACTGGTGAAAACACAGGGAGAAGACTTGGGACTCATCCTCAATCCCTCCAAGTGTGAAATCACAGCGAACCAGGAAATAATGCTGTGCGAAGAATCCTCCTGGAAGTCTCTATTACCACTCCGTCCAACAGTACCCTCTTGGGAGCACCGCTGGGTCACCAGGCCATCGACACTGTCCTCAAGGACAAATTGAATAACCTGATGAGAATGGAGAAGAGAATAAGCAATCTTGATGCCCATGATGCTCTGTATCTCCTCACAAGGTGTCTTACCATCCCAAGACTCGCTTCCTGAGGTGTGCACCCTCTTTTGACAACCCAACACTCGACGAATATAATGCACACCTGAGATCAACCTTTAGGAAAGCACTGAATCTGTCACTAGAGGATCAGCAATTTGATCTGGCAACCCTCCCAGTGCGACTGGGAGGTATAGGGGTGCGCAAAGCAATGCATGTTGCTTTACCTGCTTTTCTGTCTTTGTGTTTGGCTTCAAGTGCATTAGTCAAGAAGATTGTTCCCGAACGCTTGAGAGACATGTTAGAAGCTCAAGACCCCAGGTTTACTGAAGCAGCGATTCGGTGGGACACACAAACTCCTCCAGTAGACCAGCTCCTCCCAAAGAGCACAAACAGTCCCCCTGGGACAAACCGATCATGGAAAAAATCGCCAACACAATGCTCTCCAATGCTTCATGAAAGGACATAGCTCGTCTCCTGGCAGTGAAGGCACCACACTCAGGAGATTTCCTGTTAGCTGTTTCCAATTCATCCCTGGGCACCCGTCTCGACCCACAGGCCATTCGGATTGGTGTTGCTCTTCACCTAGCCGCCCCCATCCTCACCGAGCATAGGTGTCTTTGCGGCAGGGCGACAGCTGATCAATTCGGACTTCATGGTCTCGTGTGTCACAGCAGAAGGGAAGCATGCCAGACATGAGGAGGTCAATGACATAAAGAGAAGCCATAGCCCGTTGCCCAGCTCAACGGGAACCCCAAGTGCAGAGGTCTGACGGAAGTCAAAAGCGTCCTGACGGAGCCATTATGCTACCCTGGAAGGATTGAAAGCAGATTGCCTGAGACTACACCTGTGCTGCCACATTGGCAGACACCTACTTGCCATACTCCGTAGTGGAAGGGGGTGGAGCTGCCAGCCACAGGGAGACCCAGAAGATCCTCAGATATGAAGACCTTCCCCCTTGCCATAACTTCATCCCAATAGGGTCGGAGTCCCTTGGAGCATGGGGCAAGTGTGCTCTAAAGTTCCTCAAAGAGCTTGGTGAAAAGCTCATCATAGAAACCAAGGACCACAGGGCGACCAGCTTCCTCTTTTAGAGGCTCAGTGTTGCGATCCAGAGAGGAAATGCCTGCAGCATTCTGGGCATGCGGCCCAACGCCGGGGAGCTGGGACGAAGTATTTGAGATGTAACTGAGTTATCTATGTTGTTTTACTTTTTAGTGTATTTTTGTGAATGTTTTGTCGATGTATTATATCTTTAAATAAAATACACGTTAAATATAGGAGGTGGTAGGAGAAAATTCTCAAACAGCTTCAGGGAGAACCTCGAGTGTTCCCTGAAGCAAGTTTATTCTTTTCTCTGAGGATGAGGGTCCCCATGACAGTTCTAGAGGTGGTACCTCCACACACACACACATTATTTATATATATATATATATATATATATATATATATATATATAATTTCAACAAACCGGCTGTATCCCACCGAGGCAGGGTGGCCCAAAAAGAAAAACGAAAGTTTCTCTTCTCAAATTTAGTGATTTATACAGAAGGGGTTACTAGCCCCTTGCTCCCGGCATTTTAATCGCCTCTTACAACACGCATGACTTACGGAGGAAGAATTCTGTTCCACTTCCCCATGGAGATAAGAGAAAATAAATAAGAACAAGAACTAGAAAGAAAATAGAAGAAAACGCAGAGGGGTGTGTATATATATGCTTATACATTTATGTGTAGTGTGACCTAAGTGTAAGTAGAAGTAGCAAGACGTACCTGAAATCTTGCATGTTTACCTACAACCTAGAATATACGCTGTATAGCCATTGTGGGCTAGCGCTTCTTTTTTCTTATAATAATTATACCTAGAATTATATATATATATATATATATATATATATATATATATATATATATATATATATGTATATATATAAGAGAGAGAAAGAGAGAGAGAGAGAGAGAGAGAGCAGGAGCGGCAAATTTAACCTGAATAAGTCATATAAAGGAGAGAGAGAATAGATGTAGGCAGAGATAATGCACGAGGAGCTGGAAAATTGAAAGAGAAAGAGAAGAAAAGATAATGACTGGAGACAGAATGGTTGCAGATAGAGAGAATGGAAGAGGAAGAAGAAATAGAGGGGGAATAAGAGAGGTGGACAAGAATAAATTTGAACTAGAGATATCAGAAGGGCTGGATGGAAGATAGACAGGAAGGATGGAAGATAGACAGGAAGGATGGAAGATAGACAGGAA